AAATTAACTTCCTTTGCTATTCTTTACACACTTAATGCCCATTTGTTCTATCACCCAGGCACCACTGATTTACTATTCTTTAGTGTCCAGAGTGGGGAATTCAAAATTAAGTTATATAAGGGAATATAACTTTTTAAATTATGAAGTAGAGGGTTCTATGGTGTCCTGATATATAGAGGTAGAATATTGTTTAAATATCTTCCACATGTATGGAGTTGATTCTGTAAGTATAGATATTTCAACATTATTTTCCTATATGCAGAAGAAGTATCTGCCCTTCTCTTTGACCCAAGTTCCTTTCAATATGGTCTAGGGTTTAAATTCACATTTATTATTTCATAAATTAGCTCATTACTCCCCCCTTCCAGAATTCTGGGAAAATCTCCAAATATTGCTCACCTCTCACTTCCCATTAAGATTCTTAGCTCCTTCCCAGTTTTGAATGATCTGAAAGGAAACAAAACATTATAATTTAGAGCACATTTACTGTAGGACATAGAAAGATAATAAAGCACAGCACTGAACCTCCCAAGTGTCTAGGAGTGACTGGCTCACTGCCACATTAATGAGGTTTGAACTCCCAAATCAGTTCACACCTTTATTTTTCCCAAGGGAACTGCTGTACCCAGGAGTATCACACGTGGCTGAGGAGATTTCAAAGTATCTGGCCCAGATATCGTCAGCTCTAATTGGGCATGCCTCAAAGTTGTTGGTGTTTGCTTTCATTTTTTGTGTTTCCTTTGTTTGAGTGAATGGTTCCATGGTCCTTATAATTAGTTCCAGTAGACAGGGAAAGAAATGTCTCACCATCATTCACTTCAGTTCCCAAGTCCTGATACCTCTCAAATTGATTTTCTTCTCCAGGTAGTAATGATGCCAACCTTTCTAAGTGTTATTCAGATGCCAGTTCTAATCCAAAGATGTCCATGTAAATGCTAGAAGAAAAACATAGGACAGGGGTGGGGAACTTGTGGCCTCAAGGACCTATGTGTCCCTATGTACTTGGGTATGGCTTTTTGACTGAGTCCAAGTTTTATAGAACAAATCTTTCTATTAAGGGGATGTGTTCTGTGAAGTTTGGATTCAGTTAAAGGGCTGTACTTGAGGACCTAAAGGACTACATGGAGCCTCGAGGCTGCAGGTTCCCCAACTCTGGCATAGGATGTCTCTTTATCAGCAACCTGGACTCCGCCCATCATGCTATGTTGTTCATATGGGTTCTTTCTAATCAAACTGGCTGGTGTACTGCTTAGGCACACATCTTTCTGATGTGGTCCCTGGAGCTAACCTCAGTAGAAACCAGTAACTTGCAAAGAAGCACTCCGTCCTACATAAGCAACCAATAAAACAGAATATAACATATAGAAACCCTGAGATGTGTGCTTTTTAAAAATATCTTAGATCGAAAGCTAGGAACATTACTGGATCATAGCTGAAGAACTGGAAGGGAAGTTGAAGTCTATTAAGTCCACTCTCCTCATTTTTTTAGGTGAAGAACTGAGCCCTGTAAAGGTTAATTAACTTTGTTTAAGACATATAGCTAGTAAGTAGCAGAAGGATTCTACCTAAGGCCCTGTAATTCCAACTTCAGCACTCTTTCACTGAAGGGTGACACTGCCTCCAAGTAAGGACTAACTACAATGAAATTGACTTGGCCTCATTACATATTGTATGTTTAGCCATTACATATTACATATATATATGTTATATTGTTTGTTTAGTAATTACATATTGCATATGTGTGTATATATGCAAATATTAAATAATATTATAATACCACCTACCTCCCAGGTAGGTGGGTTGTTGTGAAGAAAAAATGAGGTATTTGTAAAGTGTGTTAAGACCTTAAAGTATTATATAGATGCTAGCTGTTACTATTGTGATGTGCATGGTAATGAATGCATTAAAATGTAAGTTCCTTTTTCATGATGAAAAATGCTATCCGCCTCTATAGAACAAACTGATAGAATCTGAGTGCAAATCAAAGCATGTCTTTTTTTTACTTTAAATTTTTTTTCAACTGTTTTCTTCGACAACATGACTAATATGGAAAAATATTTTGCATGATTGCATATGTATAACCTATATCAAATTGCTTACTGTCTCAGGGAGGAGGGAGGAAAGAAAGGGAAGGAGAGAGTTTAGAATCCAAAATTTAAAAAGATAAATGATAAAAATTGTTTTTACATGCAATTGGGGAAATATTAAAATATATTAAAAAAGAATATGAGTTCCTTGAGGGCAGGAACAGTTTTTTATCTTTATTTGTGTCTAGCATCTTAACATAGTACCTAGCCTCTAGTAGGCAATTAATAAATGCATCTTGATTTATATAATATTTACCTAATGGCTCTAATTAGTTAAAACTAAGCTTAAATAGAAAGACAATAATAAAGAAGGTAAAACAGTGATATTTTCAGGGCTATGAATAAAAGTAACAAAATCAAGAACATACAGTCTCATTAAAATGACTTAAATTTTATCAATTTATTACTAGTGTTTTGGGGGTGGAGTATAGACAACATTTTTCCCCTAAACAAATGTGACAAACAGTATGGGTGGTAACTACTTGAAATCGAGGAAATAACAATAACCCTTCAGATTTTCAGTTCCACTTAGATGGCAATCTTGACATAGTGACATTTGATAATTTAGCTGAAATTTGGCAGCCCCAAGAGAGCACCAACTGCTTCAAAGTATCCCTCGTGTTCTAAATTCAGCAGTCCTTGGCTTCTTCCCTTATTTACTGCTATTACAGAGAGCAGCAGGCTATCATGAGATCAGTCAATTACCTAACCAGCTGAAGGTGGTCAAAGGATATGAAAAGAATTTTCTGAAGAAGAATTGTAAGCTTTTAATGAGTGTATGAAAGACTACTCCAAATAACTAATATAAAAATGCTAATAAAAACAATTCTAATGTTTCAACTCACACCCAACAAATAATAATATATTATAACACCACCTACCTCCCAGGTGGGTGGGTTGTTGTGAAGAAAAAATGAGCATTTGTAAAGTGTTTTGGTATCTTAAAGTATTATACAGATGCTAGCTGTGGTGAGTATAGAAGTAAAATATGGAGTATTACCTATCACATGCAGACGTTTGTGTTGGTGGGTTTTACTTAACTGTATTTCAGGAAAAGTTTACTAGATGGTAGTGCTACAGGGGGAAGTTAGGAGCATATCTATAAATTATTATGATTTTAAAGCAAAAGGCATAAAAATATATGCATTTTTAAAAAATGTGTGAAAATGCTTTTGAATCCTGTAAAGTATTATGTAAATGTAAGGCACATCTGTTATTGATGTCAAGTTGTTGTTGTTTTCATCCTGATTAAACAATCACTTACCAGTTATTAGTTGATTGTTAACCAGTAGTTTAAAAATAACTGGCTCATTAAATGAAAGATTTTGATGGATAAAAGAGATCTCTCTCTTATATAGGTTCATCCATTTATTTGATAGATGAAGAAACTGCATCACAGAGATTAGGGAATATTTTCAAAATCATATATCCATTTTAGTGTCAGAGTAATTACTTAAGCACTGATTTTCTGGTTATTGTTTGAAAGTTTTGTCCATTATACCCCATATTTACTGAATTCAGCTGTTAAAATTCCTCTCCCTAACCTTGAATTAGTAAATACAGTGTTTCCAAAGTTACTACATACCCGACTGATGGTATGATAGCTATGTTGTGTTAGAAGATCTGCTAAGAGTCTTAATAATATTTTTTATTATTTTTACATATTTTAAAAACAATTCTGAATGTATGTGCTGATCAGGCACAGTCTCATTCTCTTAAAAGAGAGTGAACCTCTGTTAAGAACATTTAAATCCATGCCAAATTGTTGCCTTCTGGGGAGCAGCGAGTAAGGGGGGGGGGACAAAGTACAAAGTGCACAGCAAAGAGCAAAAGAAAACTTATAAGGAAGCAAAGAAAAGATGGATAGCTCTCAATACAATGTGGAGTATTTATTACATAAGCTTTCTTTAAATGGACATTTATTGCTATATTTTGAATCCTCTCTTACATTCTGCTGTGCACAAGATTTTTTTTTAATTTTGTATTTAAGTTTTAATATTTAAGTTTTTTCTTTTTCTTTTCTTATTGTGTATTTAAGTTTTAGAAAAATAAAATTTTAAAAAAGTAACATTTAGGAATACCATAGTCATTTATTTATTATGAAAGTATCATACAACAGTATACATTAAATCTTAGAAATCTCAAGTATCTTCTAAACTTGTCATTCTTATGGTCTTATTTTTTTTAATTGTAATATTCCTTTGCATTCCTACAGTTTATTAGATGCTCAACAATTTGCCCAGTCGCCAATTAGACTAGATAAGTGCTGACAAAATTTAGAAGATGAAAAGTCTTTCTAAAATTTGTTTTTCCATATATTACTATAGAAATAATTTCTATTTTAAATTATTTTATGTCATGGCACTTAGGGAGATTGATTGAAAACAATAATTAAATTCCTTATTGGATAAATTTTCCTCTTTTTATTCCAAAAATGTTGAAGATAAAATATCATTGAAATGACCATGTTTCCTGCACTGTTTTGAAAAAAAAAATTCCAAAGGATTTTCTGACTATGAAAACATTTTAAAAGGATTATTAATGTCTCTATGGGATATGGAAGACAGATGAATGGTCTTTGCATGTAGAAGAGAGTTTATTCAAATACATTCATATCATGAAAATAGGGTACACAAAAATGAAGTCATACTAAATTATTTTTTGGCACAAGTGTTTTCTTTTTTGTATGCTATTCGACATCTCTTCTGCTCTCATAGATCCATTCTGAGGTGTATATATAAAGAATTATGGGATTATATTTGGTATTACTATTTTTACATTCCTATTATTCTAGGTAATCCATACTTAACAGCGAAATCAAATGATGTTTTTTATTTGCAACTAAGAAGATTGTTTACTAGAAAAAATAATGATTTCATCATTAAAGTGTTTATTTTTTAACCATTTTTCTAGATGAATTCAAATTCTTTATGAAAAGGCTTCCCATGAATTATTTCCTCAACACCTCTACCATAATGCATTTGTGGACAATGGATTCTAATTTTCAGCGTCGTTATGAACAACTGGAGAACAGCATGAAACAACTTTTCCTAAAGGCACAGAAAATTGTACACAAGCTTTTTAGCCTTAGTAAGAGGTGTCATAAACAACCACTCATCAGCCTGCCAAGACAAAGGTAAGAAATGTTTTGACAATCTGGGAAACTGGGAGCATTGTTTTGACATTGAAATCTACTTCAGATTTCAGGTATGGTAATTAGCTTCTTAAACACTGGCTTTTATATCCTTAATGACGAATTGACAGCAAGATGTCCTCTAGCACATTAGAATGATTATTCTCAGATATTCCCCAAAGCAGGGGTGCATCGGGAAAACATAGACTCTCAACTCATTTGTCTTTTATGTGTACTATCAGAATCAATAAATCATGTATAGGTAGTCATCAAATAATTCCTGAAAAAATTAAATAAAACAGATCACCCCACAAGCAAACAATGAACATCATAATGTTCATACTTTTCCTGAAATGGAAATATTTATTGTAACGCATATTGAAAAATAAAACTGTGAAATGTTTATTATATTTACTGGTTCATATTGTAAAGATCTTTTTGTTTTCTGTGCTTTCAGAAAATTCCCAAAACTGTCATGTAAGGATTGAAATTTTTTATGAGGGTGTCACAGATTTTATGTTGTTTGACTCCGTCATTTGCAAGAAAAGTAAAATTTTTTTGATATTTACTAATCTTTTAGTGTAAGGAAAAATGATTTTATTTGAGCTCAATAAAGTAAATAAACAACAAAAAAATTCCAAAGCCTGGCAGCTCCATGTGTAACATATGGCATCTTTGTACTCATATCAGGTTAAGTATGGGAACTTCAACTTGATGCCCAAATTACTAAGAAAAGGAAGATTAGGAAGGAATCAACGCAGTCTTATTTCTCTGGGAAAAGTAAACAAAAAGGGAGATTAAAAGAATTTTTTTAAGTTTCACTGAAAAATGGGTCATTGGGATACTTAAAATGGAAACCATAGTCTACAACCCACTCACTTTGGCAGAGCATGGATTTATTTTGTGCTATTTATTTGCGATCTTGGCATATGCAGACATTTTTTTTCTCGGTTGTCTTTCTTATCCAAGTTTTCAAACTTGTCTTTCTTCAGCATGCAGTATGTTAATTCTTTTACCACCTAATATTAATGCATTTTTTGCCCTAGCTGGGCTTCCTATAACTGATTTGGTCTATTTGGTATCTCATCTTATTAGGAAAGATTAAAATAGGGAGGGATCCCTAAGAACAGGTGTTTTTAATGTTTTTTCTTTTGTTTTATTTTTTGAGAGTCTCTAATTTTTTATTGATTGGTCATTAATAGCATGAATCTCCTACTCATTAGTGATTTTTTTTAACCACTCAAATATATGTACCAAGTGCTGTGTAGATATAGTACATTTTCTTTTACCTATGAATTTACATCCACTGCCTCCCAATATCCACTATACTTATTGTAGTCTATTTTCAAAAATGAATGTCCTTTACTTTCTTTCCTTTTTCAAAGAAGATAATTCTTTTTAAAGCATCTCATTGTTCCTTAAGATATTTTATCTTCTATAACACAGCATTCCATAAAACTGGAAAGATTAAAACAATTTTGAAATTTAGAAACCAAGTTTATGTTCCTAAATCTATAATGTGTTATAAGGTGGTGAACTGATTATTCATACTGTTAAATTGCAAGTCAATTTAAATTGCAAGACATGACATTTAAAAACATATATATTTGTTCATATTCTTCCCTCATGATACTTTTTTTTCTAAAGTTAAGTATTAATCAATATGGTTGCTAGAGATCTGGCCTTAGAGTCTTCACTTCTTTACCTGGAATTCCCTCCCACACACACACACATAATTAAAATTATTGGTACAAATAATAACATAAAATAAGTGAACTTAAATATCATCTGCCATTCTTTTTGCCTTAGAAAATATACAAGAGTTCCAAGACTTCAATCCCTCTACCCATCCAATCAATTGCTAAATCTTATCTTTTCTAACTTTATAACTTGTCTCCAGTACATGTCCTTTTCTCTACTGACAGAGCCATAAACTTTGGTTCATGCCCTCTTTACCTAATGCTTCCACTTGTAACAATTACTTCTTTCCTGCCTCAAGTCTGTGTTTTTTCTAATCTATCTATTCAGTTGCCAAAGTGATTTTTCATAAACCATTGATCTGACCACATCACTTCCTTACTCAGTAAACTTCAGTGGCTCCCTATTAACTTATGGGATCAAATACAAATTCTTCATTCCCACATTTCCAATCTTCTTAGAAATTGCTGCCTTTCATGCAGTCTATGATCTTACTATGTTAGATTGTTTGTTCTTTGAAAATGCTACTCCATTTACATCTCAAGAACCTTGTACTGACTGTCACTTATCTTTTGCCTCAACTTAACTTTTTAAAATCTCTGGCTTCCTTCAATACTTAGCTGAAATTCCACCTTCCACAGGAATCCTTTCCTGGTTTTCTCAGCTGTTAGTGTCTTCTTTTCTAAGATTCCATCTTTTCTTCATGCAACTTATACAATATTTATAAACATAACATCTTTTGTGTACATTTCATATAATATACTGTATTCACATAAAATTGTAACTAGCATTTGTATAATTTCAAGTTTTGCCAAATGCTTTCTTTGTGTGACAGCTTATTTAATCCTTATAACAACCCTGTAAGATGAGTGTTATTATTAGCTTCATTTTACAAAGGAGGAAACTGATGCTGAGAGGGGTTAAATGACTTGCTCAGGATAACACAGCTAGTAAGAGGCTGAGGCAAGATTTTAATTTGAGACTTTCTGTCTCCAAGTCCATGACTGTATTCACTACTCACCTAGCTTTACTCACTCATTAGAAAGTTATCTTCTTAAAGGCAAGGATTGTTATTGCTTTATTCTTTGTACTCAGTATAGTGCCTAGAACATCATATGGCATAGGGTCTACTATGTGATTTTACTAATTTATGGAAACTTCCTTTACCAGTTATATTTGGCACCTTTGCTACAACTTGTTGTCTTAAGAAACTAAGAGGTAAAATAACTGAGTTACCCAGAGTGACACAACCAATATATGTTAGGGGCATTTTTCCTGGCTAGCTCTTTTCACTAGACTAGACCCTTATAAATAATTATTGGTTGAATGATAAATATAATATAAAATAATACAGCATGTAAATTCTTCTATTAGATAAAATATTTTTAAAATCTTTTAATTATTGTTGTCCCTAGCTTGATACAACACAATGTGAAGTACTCAAATGGTCAAATACTTCTGTGACCTCATCAATGTTCCCTCCAAGGAATCATATGGCCGCCAATCAATGTGTATTCCTCCTCTGTCATTCTTGTTCCTATTTTCTTATGTCCTCCCATTATACTGGGTACTATTTTTGATGTTCTCTTTATATTCTGAGGTTCAGTGGATCCTATGAGTTTCCCATTAGTTATGTAGTTAGTGTCAAAACATGATCAGTGTATCTTCTTTCAATAATACCTTTTTTGATGTTTCTTCTTCTTCCTTCTCCTCTATTTCTTCCTTCCTCATTTTCTTCTCTTCCTCTCTTTCTTTCTTCCTTCCCTCCCTTCCTCCCTCCATCCCTCCTTCCTATCTTCTCTCTATTCTTTCCTTCCTTCGGAACTTCCTTCTTTCCTTCCTTCTTTCCCTGTTGGGGCCTTTGTTTCTGAGAGAAATTTGGAGCCATTAAAGTTTGAGGCAAGGAAGAAAAAGTATGTTGATAAGGAAAATCACTTACATTTAGGATTTGCAGGTTAGATTTGCAACTGTATTTACGCAATTGTCTGGTGATCCATGTATTTTTTGTAGTTTTAAGAGGAGGGGAAGGAGATGGAGGTAAAGGGATAGGAACCACAGTGGTTTCCTTCTTTTGTAGGATTTTTCTCTTAGCTTCCACTGTAATGGTTATACAGCTCTGGTGGACTTGCTGTCAAACTCAGATACTCTAAAGTGATTTAAATATAAATATGAAAATATGATTTAGACTCTTCAAAATGTTCAGTGAAATAATTTGGGTACCATTTTAATGGCAGTGGGAAGCTAGATTATATAGGGTAATGGAGGAATACAAAGTGGTCCCTAAATATTTTTTAAGTCACAATATTCAAGAATTCTCATCAAGTCCCTATTATCAATAAAATTTCCTTAGTTAATTTATGGGAAGACTCCTGTATTTTGCTGTATGTTTCTTGAACAAGCTCTTCAGTATGTGACAATCAGATCACCACGAGGTGGCTTACTCCTGTTGGGATTCAGCCTCTTTTCAGATAAACTGAAGTAAGCTATCCAATTCACTAATGGCCAGTTCTGCAGCTACTAATAGCAAGCATGTTCTATGATCCCAGGAGAAAAACAAAACAAAACAAAAAAGCAGACAAACAACAACAACAACAAAAAAAACTAGCATATAATTTTATATTATTGTTCGTTATTCAAAGAGTGGAATTTCTATAAATGATATGCTCTTGGGATTCTCAACCTGGGGTATGAGAAACATCAGTAGGGTTTGAGTAATATTTGACAAATAAATATATTATCCTGTTAAAATAAATATCTTTATTTCTTATGTGAATTTATTCTATAGTTTATTTCCTTCCATATTAAATATGTAATATTCAAAGGATTACTGAAAGCCAGGGATAAAAAAAAAAAGTTGAGATTCTCTAATATCATCAATATTCCTAAATGTGGGTATGTGTAACTATCTTTATTTTATTGATTGCAAAGGTGAAAATTTAAGATCTAGTTTCTTTCATGTTCAAAAGTGACATGAGATTTTGTCCATTCTATCCCTGTTCTATTGTAGGCAATTTTTAAAAAAATATTGTGATGGTGTTATTCTTGGTTTTGTTTTTGTTTTTAAATGGTAGATCTCCAACGAATATTTACTGAATTGAAATCATTGAGTTTTATTTAATATTTTTAATATTTTATATGTAATTGATCATTTAAATTGTTAGAAAACTTAATATACAATGTAGAGCATTGTATTTGAACATGATACTTATTAACACAAGCATACATTTAAAGACATTTTCGATATAGGTTATAATAAATATTTTTACTTCAAATAGATTTTAAAGTTTGCTGTGATTAGGACAGTT